AAACTGTAACCCAGTGCTTCCGAGCGTATGATCGACCGGATGAACTGAGGATTGTGCGTGAAGATAAAGTCTTATGGATGGTTAGTTAAAATCGATATCATTTATCGCAAACAACTATTCAAAGTATGTATGAATAACATATATTTGTTGGGACCATTTGCGTTGCGAGTCTAAAAGTTAAAATGGTGCAGGAATACTGTTTAGTACTACTCAACTACCGCGGCAGTTTCCAAACAAACAATCAGGAGAGTAAATTTCTTCTCAATTTGATGAGCCCAGACACGTGTGATTTGTTTGACTGAATGTTAGAAACAAACGTTATGGGAAGCAAATTGATAGATCTTTAATGGGAAAGAATAAACCAATGATTTACTCAATTTGTGATAGTTATTTGCATGCCTTTATATATAATATATATATATATACTTGGGGCTTCCTCGTGACGGTGAGAGAAGTCTTCGCACTTCACTGGATAGCTATCGCCTACCCAAATTGGCCAACCCGCAACCAATAAGAGGCCACCCCAAATACGTTCCGCTTGTCTCATTGAGTTCATGAGACTTAAGGCCAATACCGAACAGACAAACCTGACAGAGACAATCGATGTGCTACTAAACATTATATTGAAACAAAACCCAAAGGCATTGCATGACAGGACTGTAGAATCTCCTACACGGGTTCTATCGTCACACTCACTCGTCGGATCTAAGCCCCAATTCTTTATTGGTCAGACTTTCCAGTCAAAGGCCTTGGTTAAGGTTCCTCAAGGTAATCCCAAAAACTCTCACTGCCTTGCGGGTTAGACTTTTGAGTCAAAAGCTCCGTCTAGGTTTCCAAAGGAAAACCCCTTCGTCGGTATGGGCTACCGCGAAGTATGTCGTGCCCCAAAGTCTTAGGTATCCATTTGAAAAACCCTCTTTCTCGTCTAACTAGTTCTTCCTCTCAATCCCGAATAATCCCAGATGCATCCTGTTTACGCCACCCATCGGATGTCACTCAGGATTTTACCAATCAGAAGTTATACGACTTTTGAAGCAAAAATTTCTTTCGCACTTAGGCGCGTTCAACGTCCACGTACCTAACCAGATCAGTCAACCAGCTGCTTTAGCTGGAAATCTTGAAACGTGTAATTTAGATGTGTGCTGTGTCTTCAAATCATGGATACGAGATCCTACCTCAATCATCTCTCTGCCTCCTCCTTTTCCAGCCTTATCCTTATGCTTCACCTTTCGTGTATCAGACCATGCGACATCCGAAGCTGGCGTTGGAGCTTGTGTTGAGACTGCGCTAAGTGTTAAGGCTGAACGCTCCCTTCTTGACTGGATTCCAATTAGTAACCGGCTGTGCGCTGCATGTCTCAGCGGCTCAGTACGGGTTAGCAGCTACAGAACGAAGCATCGATGCCGGTGTAGCCACCGACCGATTGCAGCGCACCTGAAATCAAGGATAAATTCTACAAGGATCTTTCTCAATTACTCCAAAGTGTTTGATCAATAGACGTCGTGGTATTTGCCGGAGACTTCAATGTTCATCCTATTCATCCTATCGGGTGCATAAAGCTTTACTTGACTTGTTCAGGTGGGATCTTTGGACGAATCGGGAAGGCTTCATGGCGATTCACATGAAGTCCCAGCCAACTAGAAGGATAATGGTGAACGCCTACTTCAACTCTGCGCGAACCACTGATTGTTCCTGTCAAGCACCGAACTCTGGTACAACAAACGGCACTGTCTTACTTGGAAACCGACAACCTCTTCAGTGAGCTCAAATCGACCACATCACCATCAGTTACCACTGGAGGGAGTCAATTCAAGACTGTCACTCTCACTGGTCAAGACCTACGGATACGGACACGTTTTGTTAAGAACCGAATTCTCCTAAAGCCTGGCAAACAACTGCAACAAAGCCACCGGCAACGGATATCTACGATACAAAATCAGTAATAGTTGAAAGCAGCCTTCGAAGCGGGGCTCTCCGATCGTCTGTCAGTTTAACCGAAGCCGAAGGACCCAAAGAACACTCGAGGCAAATCAAAGAAGCTATGCAAATACCTATAAAACAACGTTGGATAGTGGCGCAGGCTCAAAGAACAAATGATCTCGTCGACCTCGGCTGCCTTGCTGGTCTCCCGCCGAACCCCTCCTTCGCATGCCACATATGAGACAGCGCGCAAGTCCCTTTAACGCCAGCTCATTTGGAGTTTAAAGAATTACCGCGAGCAGTGATGGTTTTGTCATTTGGGCAGCATTATCTCAACCGTATCACGGATGAAGTGTTAGGTCACAAACAGGAGGCGCGATCAGCATTTGCCTACTTGAGACATCTGTGGCGCCACCGTTAAGTCCGAATGTCCATGAAGGATCGAGTGCATACTGTGGAAGTTGAGCCAGTTATGCCATACAGCGCATAAACTTGGTCGTTAGGACAACAGGTCAACATACATACACTGGATGTGTTTGAACACCGCTGTCTACGCAGCATCCGCGAATCCGGTAAGGCTACCGGACGAACAGTGCTGAGGTTAGGCGCAGAGCTTTGGGCAACCGTGGTCGTCCAATGGAGTAGGTGATTCACCTTCATAGATTACGTTGGTTGGGACATATGTGCACATGCAAACAAATAGGTTACCACGGCGAGCGATGTTTGCGGAGGCAGGCAGTGGATAGAAAAAGGTCAAGGGCGGTCAAACTAAGACCTGGCATGAGGGTATGAAAACCTTAACCATGAGACTCTGTCATATAGGTTGCTTTAGGTTCATTGGATGAGGATCTCGGAATCATTGCAATCAACGGTTAGAGGCACTGTGTTATATCGCTGAGTGTCGTAAACAGTGGCGCTAGCGTGTCATCTCAATTTCTGTGAAACTTTAGTCTACTGGCGTTCTTCACTTTCTGTTGGGCTCTATGGTCAACTTTCCCCTCTTTCTTCTACTGTTTCATCCAGTTGGGCAACCAAAACGAGCGCTTGAAAGTACATGGTTAATGGTCGTACCAAATGAAGAAGAAACTGATGATGGAAGTAGGGTGCAGAAGAGTGCGCCACGGAGATAAAAATATCAGGAAGACAAAGTTTCTTTCATTTTTCACCTGTCGAAAGTTTCTCTTGTTTTACTGCATCATTGAAAGCCATGTATAATAATCTCACCTAGCAGGAAATCCGGATGTTTGTTGTTTAGATAACCAGTCCAAGTGAAGTCGTTACGGAAATGAAATGAGCGTGATAACGAGTCTAGCCTAAGCTTCAAGTTGGCAAAGTAGGATTTTTAAAGTCTAACTTACGCTGTTGAATTATTATTATAATTATTATTATTATTACTCTGTTGACTTCGGAGAACCACCAACAGCACGTTGGTGGAGGTTAAGCGGTTTAGGTCGTTGTCACCAGCGTATTTTGGACCCTGAGACCGGAGGTTCGAACCCTCCCACCCAACTTTGGTGGCAGGCGCCTTCGCTATCGTCCGACTAAATGCCATACCTACCCTAGGCTTAGGCTTTATGTGATTTGTTACTCAAATTTTCACGGATGAGATTGCCGGTTTTTACGAGTGATCATGGGGTCTACTCTGTTTACAGTTCATCACACTGGGGTGTTTCATGCTAAATGTTTCAGGTTATTCGGCTTCTTAATGACCAGACGCAAAAAATGGTGCAGTAGTTTGTCGATCTCGATTATCATAACGCCGCATTTGTAAATCGTTCAACCGACTCTCAGCCTCCTTATTCGTCACATGTCTTTTGGAGCCATTCTCGATTGATTCACGTTATTTCTTGCTCCACTAAACGCTGTTCCATCCTTCCCACAACCTTCAGGTTTAATAAAAAGATTGCTTAAACGCCTCCAATATTCCCTACGATTCGCTGCAATTTACTTTTCTGGCTAAACAGATTCACTTTGTCTCAAATCTTGTCCAATTTATCACTAAATCTTTTAAGGATATTGTTAGATCATTTCAATGTTTTTCTGACTGTTCGACTTTATCCCTCTGGTACTATCCCTCTGGTGCTATTTTAAAATCGTGAATTTCTTAAGTTACCACAAGAGTTTTGAGCTCGATCATTTTAATCTTTTCACTGAAACACCAGAAGGTTCAATGAAATCCAAACTCTTAATGTGTAACCCCGGATCGCTCTAATGAGTAGTTTTATCCCAGCACTTATTTTCCCTTGCTTTTCCGTGTTTCGGAGTACACACATGTTAGTGTATTAAACCAGTCCTTATCTTCTATCTACGACCCAAGTTTCTTCACAGAATATGTCTTAAGTTTCGCTTTCGTCACTGAGTTTCGTGTTAGTTCAAATCTATTATGTGTTGAGTTTCTCTATAGTTTTTCACGCTTTTCCTTTCCTTCATCACGAAGAGACACACACATTGACGTGATAAGAGGGCTTTTGTACCACTGTGGCCCAAAGAGCTACTACTACACGGTGGCTACTCAAAGCTCAGTTTTAGTATGGGAATAACTTAGAAGCGCATGATTTTGTCGTCCGATAGGTTCGTGTTGCATTTGAAAGACAGTGTTGCATACAATTTCACGTGTAAAAATGTCACATGATACGGGCCTCCTCCGATTCTGCACGCACCTTCACTTAGGTTGGAATGTAAGGTGTGCTGGTGCTTCAGCAAGTCTCCGTTTAAAAATTCAACGCTTCACGCACGGACGACGTGGGATAAGAGAGTTCCAGACCAAACACACTCTGATTGCGAATGACTGAAGCCGGCATTTTGAGACCACTAGTTTGAACGGACGTCGCATGAGATGAACATTGAGATCATTTTAGCAGCGAGCGACACGGATGGCTTGGGTTTTACATTATTTTGTATACCATAGTCATGTCTCGTCTGATATACCGGTTGCGATTGGAATATAATCCCAACGACTCTATACCATTTTCATGTCAAGTTGTCCCAGTTTCATATCATGTTTTTCGGGAATCACTTCAAACTGTCCCCGAATTATTTCAAACTGTCCTGCGAGTATTCCAAGGTGTCCCCGGATTATTTCAAGCTGTCACATTGACCTCACCGGTGCTGACAAGCCCGGGAGGCGCAAGTGTCTGACCAGCTGCAGCACCGGTTTCCTCACAATAGGATCCAAATAATTTTCGGGCTGGCCGAGGAGGAGGATAGGTTACGAATCCGATGCTGCCTAAATGTTGATAGAGGATCACAAAAGAACGCATTCGAGAACCCAGATGTGTATAGATATTATTCAACATGTATCTATGGTTTACTCGAAAGTGCTCAATTATGAGGATATTGGAAAAAAATGATGCTTTTTTCTTCGGAAAATTATTTGGATCCTATTGTGAGGAAACCGGTGCTGCAGCTTGTCAGACACTTGTGCATGTTATGCGTCACCTAATGACTGTCAGTTTTCATGAGTCTGAAAGGAAAGTAGTGAAGCAGTTATAGTGTATTTATATTCTTTTAATCGTTTCATTAGTCGCACAGAACACAGTGAGGACGACAGCGTGGTGAACAAGCTCGTTTTCAGTTATTCGTAAACATACCATTACATAACATTAAATATGACTAACAATAAAAACGAAACAGGGGATGAGAAAACTCGAGTTCTAATGATTCAGCTGTAGCTCCAATCATGTAGTCAGACCTTTTCATGATTACAATACCTGCATCTTTGTCAGGTCTTGACAACATCAATTCTCTATCGGCTTGTAATTCTCTAAGAC